AGGTTTTGTGGCATTCCAACCTCCTCACACGAGCAAGGAGGACCGGTGGCTCGAAGAACCGCGCTGGCTTCGATATACCCCGGCCTTGATGGCGACGGTGAGGGCTTATGTCTGTTTAACATCACATTCTGCGTGTCCATACGATGGTCTTCCTATGACCATCGATCACATAAGCGAGCGGGATTGGCCGCTGGAACAGGCAAGGGATTCGCTTGTCTAGGTCTGCTTCAACAGATCGAGTAGCCTTGAATGTAACAGAAGAGAGGCCAATGGTATGCCTCTGGACGACCACATCAACCTCGGTGGGCGCAGATTTAGTCATGGAGCATGGAGAAGGCGAGCCCGAGACACAACACTGTCCGTGGCGGAAAGAGTATATGAGGAGACGTCCCCGAGCCGGTAGAAACTGCTCAACCACATATCCCATTCAATTTCCACAATAGCATTAAGCTCCTGCTTATCTGCTAGTTTCCCATCATGTCACCGTCGTTACTTATCTCAGAGCGTCTGGAGAATGGATGTGACACCGGGCTGGGCCTGGCTGAGCTCCTGGAGCGGCAAGCTATGGTCCGCGGCACAGCCATTGCCATTGAAGAAGGCCAGTACGAAGTCACATACGGCGAACTACACGAAAAGGCCCTCTTCGTCGCCGACCAGGTCAACAGTATTCTTCACGATGACCCTTCGCCAGTCGGAATTATCGCCCCTCGCAGTTTGAATCACGTATTATCGCAGGCCGCTGTGATCTACTCGGGCCGGGCTTGTGTGCCGTTGGACCCCAAGCTCCCAGACGAGATGCTCAGAGACATGCTGGAAAACTTGGGATCGACCCTCGTCATCACGGATATTGTACAACAGCATAGACTACCGGGAGTTAAGCATCTGGTGGTTGACCATCGCGTGGTTCCGGAGACCTTCGATCTAAACATTGCCCCAAGTCAGAACGGGCCGCAGACATGCTCTCATGTGCTCCACACCTCGGGCACAACCGGCAAGCCGAAGGCAGTCGAAGCGTTTGCGGAGGGGTTAATCAATCTTTGCCTCGATTCAGCGGACCTCATTCGGAAGGGGCAGCGTGTTGGGCACGGATCCAACGTCATCTTTGATACCTCCCTGGTGGAGATTTGGGGTCCCTTGCTGCGCGGAGCGACCATGGTCATCATCCCCCATGAGATTGTCCTCGATCCTTCTGCTCTTAGTGTGTTCGTCAAAGAGAAAGAACTCAATGTGTTGCAACTCACGACCTCTCTGCTCACCGTGACGGCTTATGCCTGTCCGGATGCTTTCTCGACTCTGGACACCCTTATTACTGGAGGTGAGGCAATCAACTGCCAGACAATCCAATCAATCTTCGACGCCGGAGCCCCAGGCCGCATTATCAACGGTTATGGTCCGACAGAAGCCAGTATATATGTTTTGTATCATCAAGTCTCGGAAGACGAGGCCCGCCGGGGTGAGATTCCCGTGGGAAAGCCATTCGGCGACGTCGAGGTATTTCTCCTTGATGACAACATGAACACAGTCAAGCCAGGTGAAGTCGGCGAGCTCGTGGTATCTGGCGTAGGTGTTGCCGGGGGATATATTGGAGACGCCCAGAAAACTGCCAAGAGCTTCGTTGTTCTTCCACAACTGCACCGGAAGGTGGAGCGGGGACCCCACCACATGTATCGAACTGGAGACTTGATGCGTGTAGATGAGAAAGGCGTGTACTACTACCTCGGACGGAAAGACAATCAGATCAAGATTCGTGGTCAGCGCGTGGAGCTGGAGGCCTTGGAATCGGCCCTAGTTGGCACGGGCCTAGTGAGTGCTGCTGTGGTGGTGAAAATCACGCCGGAAGAAGTTGGCCGTGGCCAGTTTCTGCTGGCCTACTGTATTCCTTCCTCACCTGATGTTGCGGATGGCGCCATCATGAAAGCCTACATGGAGCAAGCACCAGATCTCATGGTTCCCCGTTTGGAGCTCATTGACGTCCTGCCCCTTCGCTCCACAGGTAAAGCTGACCGGAAGGCTCTGGAAGCACGGTATTACCAGAAGCTCAAGCGCTCACGGGCTAATGGAGCTAATGGAAATGTCAACACTGGCAGCAACGCTGCTAAGCTGGAGTACATCTGGATTGACGTGTTTGGTCTCACTGTCGAGCATCTACGCCCAACCGACGACTTCGTGGCCATGGGTGGAACGTCCTTGATCGCCGCCACCATGATCGCTCGCATCAACCAAACATTTGGCATCTCGTTGCGCGCCCAAATGCTCTACGAGAATACCAGCTTCGAGAGTCTCACGCGGCTTGTCACCAACATCCAAGTTCATGGAGATGACTCAAGTATTCAGGCCGAACAGGAGGTCTGGCTACAGGACTCTAAGTTGGGCGAACACTTGCGGCCCATCGGAGGCGTCATTCCTCAATGGCAGGACAAAAATGAAGGCAGGATCTTCCTGACGGGAGCTACTGGCTTTGTGGGTGTGTTTCTCCTGGCCACACTCGTGAAGCGGCCTGATGTTAAAAAGGTGGCCTGTTTGGTGCGCGCCGACGACGAGCCCTCGGCCCGGGCACGTCTCGAGAAGACCATGGAGAAGTACAGTCTCTACGCAAACATGGACAAGGTCATCGCCCTGCCAGGCAATTTCGGACAACCACGGCTGGGTCTGTCTCCGGAGCAGTACGATTACTTCGCGACATGGTCTAGTGTGATCTTCCACCTCGGGGCCAAGGTGAGCTACGTCGCTCCTTATTCTTCCCACCGCCAGGAGAATACTATCGGCACCTTGAACATGCTCGAGTTTGCTACTCACCAGCGGACCAAGGCCATGCACTACTCGTCCACCATCGCGGCCTACGGTCCAACTGGATATGTTACGGGCGCCAAGCTGCTGCCAGAGGATGAACGGCCCGCGCCGCACTTGGCTGCTCTGCCCAGCGACACTGGTTATGCTCAAAGTCAGTACGTGGCGGAGGCGATCGTTTGGAATGCCATTGACAACGGCTTCCCTGTGGCCATTTACCGTCCAGGATTTGTCCTGGGCCATAGCAAGTCCGGCATTTGTAACCCGGACGATTTCATCTCCCGTCTCTTCACCAGCTGTATGGACATGGGGCTGTATCCCATCCTACCCAACCAGCGCAAGGAATTCATCCCTGTAGACTTCGTTGTCGATTCCATCCTTCATATCTCCACAACCCACGAGAATTTGGGCCACGCCTACAATCTCGTGCAGCCTGATCTTAACAACGCTATCGACATCAACACCAGCTTTGACCTGCTCAATCAGCTGTCTCCATACAAGATGGAAGGAGTGCCTTACGAGCAATGGGTGAACTCGCTCTCTGAGCGATTGGATGACCCTCTGCATCCCCTCACTCCCATGCTCAGGGAGAAGGTATTTGGCAACATGACCCGCTGGGAGGTGTATGAGAACATGGCTGAGTACGGGCGGGAGAACATCCGCCGCGCCCTGCAAGACGCTCCGCACATCCTGAACCGGGAGGATATTGAGGTGCTCTTTCACCGATCGTTGAAAAGTTGGCTACCATGCTGTGTATGGCACAAGCCTGTACGCATGCAAGTGTGAGAAATGTTCGCTTATTTCTTGTGGGTGATTCGTTCTTGTTCAGGCTGAGCTTTTTATTGGTGGCTCTATAATGGATGAAGAGATGAAGGACAACAAAGCACACCAGCACACCTCAACAGAAATAAATGACTGATGATACAATGAAACAGGGGAAGAGAAAATAAAAGGGGTCTGACCCTAGGAGAACAATGACTTATAGCTATTTGATGTCAGATAGGACGACTTATGAATGCTTGGTAGAATACAATCGAATTTGCTTATCAGCGCTTCGCGGCATCCCTCGTAGGGGCAATGTTGTCACGCTAACTCTTGGCACTAATGGAAGGAAGTGCGGATGCTTCGTCTGAATGGCTAGATATCTTGCTGCCTGGAGCCATTGCTTGCCTTGCAGGTTGTGTATCCTTGGCCTTCTTTCGTAGACTCGGGCTCAGAGCAAGGGTCATCAGGCTGAACAACCGGCTTAGCTGGAAAAATCCTGTTTTCTCTCCCATCGTTGCCTAAGGGATGAAATGTATACTAAGTAAGTTAATAACCATGTCTATCAACTTGAAGAGTTAATGTGATAAATGGCTGCGTACTAAGGATGGACACTTGGGCTAAGCTTTATCACTACCCTTCGACCAGTGATTCATAGATATACTATATATTTACCAAGTCTTCGCTAGGAAACTTCTGAACCTTGTAGGTAGCTTATAATGGGAGCCTGATGCTTCTTCTTGTGAAGTATATGAATTCCTTCTCTAACGCCTCTGTTTTTCCACTTGCTCACATTCATCACTAAATCTGTTTTGTGAGCACCCGTACTGTTTCCAATACCAGTTAACAACATGAAAAGGTGGAAATTCTCTCTGATGTTTTCATCAATTCTTTCTTGGTGGATATGAAATGGTCATAGACTTTCAACCGGTAGAAATGGGGTTTCGTTAACAATGTGTAAGTTGCCAAAAGACATAGGCTGTATACATCTATTGACTACTGACGATGACTGGGCCGGCGCTACAGCTCGCTCCGTAGAAGCTGCCGTAAAGGGTCTAACAGTCTGAATTTGAAGCCCTGGATCATTGCTACCACGCAGTTTAACCTGCAATGAGGCTGGGGGCTTAATGGAGCAGCAAAATCCTTTGGGACAGCCCCCGGCGCAGCTACTCAGCGAGCTTACCACAGAAGATCAACGCAGATGGCAGGCGGCAGACGCCAGCCAGAGGAAATTTACGGGTGTAGCAAGCATCAAGCCAATGTGAATGTTCAGGCTGTTTACAAGAGGCGGTGCGAGAGGACATTTTCGGGTAAAGAAATTCCTGGTCGGTAGCACCACTTCTGCCAAACAACATACTTCCTGCGAGGGGAATACTCAGTGGCTCATAAGTTCAATCACCTGGAATTGGTCTTGACTCCATCTACATCTACTGAGACAGCTATATCTCTACCTACAACCGATAGCGGAAGCCAACCGTATTCCAATCGGTCGCATCCTCATAATCCTCTGCCTGCAGCTCTACCGACTGCACCAACACCGACACATCATTCCCATCCTGTCGTTGATTGGCAAATTTGCCACCCACAGCACCAGCCAGAGTGGCCGTCCCTTGGACACCCTCCTCACGATCGCGCTTCCAATTAAACCACTGTAGATAACACCGCAGCGACACGGCCAACGCAGCCGAAATAATATAGCATATGAGGATGGCGCGAAACGAAGTCTGATAGAGTGGGGCCTCACTCGACTTGAAGAACTGCGGCCCGGCAATATTACCCGCGCAGTAGGCGATGAACATCATGGAGGTGATGGTCATTTTCTTGGTGACACCACGGTAATTCGCCTGCAGGAGGGACATGATGAGCGGGAGGGCACCGGGACCCGTGGACAGCAGAAAGTACCCGAAGAGCTGGGCGCCGAGGGGCACATGGTGAGCACGAGCATAGATGATGGCACTGCCGGTGATGGACAGTGCGATAATACACACAATCAGCAGACAGTTCCAATGGTGGGACCGACTGGCCAGCCAGCCGGTGAGGGCGATGGTGCCGGCACTGATCACACTGGCAGGGATGACAATCAATGTCGACTGAAGAGAGGTGAAGCCGAACGATTTGATGACGAGGTTGCCAAAGTTCTGTGTCCCGCCGTTGGGAATCTGGGTCAGCACTGCCAGGGCGAACAGGTGCCACGTCTTGGGGTCGCAAAGGCATTCGATGAATTGCGCCCATTTCCAGGTGGTCTTCTCTGTCCGACCGGTACCTGCGATCACGGCACGGTGAGCCATGAATTCTCGTTCCTCGGGAGTGAGGAAAGTGGCTGTGGAGATGCTATCTGGGAGGAAGGCAAAAAGCACAAACCCCCAGAGAAAGGTGGCCACGCCGAGAATGATGAACATCCACATCCAGGGATGCAGGGGATGGTCAATGTGGCCGATGCCATAGGCGAGCAGACTGGCGACGAGCCCGCCGACCGAGTTGCCCGAGAACCAGATGCCCGTGCGGAAGGGAATCTCATCGCGGGTGTACCACGTCGAGGTGAGGAACATAAAGGCCGGTGTGATGGTGGCCTCTGCAACCCCGAGAAGGAATCGCACGGTCAACAGACCGCCGTAATTGGTACAGGCAGCCGTCAGGGCTACCACGGCGCCCCAGAACCAGGTGTTGATGGACAGGTATTTGGCGACGGGCACCCGAGGAATCAAGACGTTGGTGGGCTGAGGGGGAGTCAGCTATCTCATGAAGGTATCGGGATGGATTGCGGTCGCACCCATTCCCAGAAGAAATATCCAAAGTAGAAGATGCTGGATACCCAACTGTACTGCTGGCCGACCAAATGCTGATGAAAGTGAGTTAGTGATACCCTAGGTATTGGGATAATAGGAAGGCACCCACAGTATCTTCAATCAACCCAAACACAGATGCACTTGATAGGATAGTTTTATCCATAAAATTAAGCAGATACGTGATGAAGAGAAGAGGTAATAGTCGACTGTCGACCTTGCGTAACACGCGGGAGGCGATCACCGGCGACTCTTCGGGCGCGTCGTGCGCCTCTGCAGCGGGTGCGACCGTGTCCATCACAACAAGTCGCAAAGTTGAGGGTTTAGCAAAGGATAATAGGTCTACACGGGTCGGAAATCCAAGAGGGATGATTAAGAATGATAGTCAGAGCTTTGAAGACAAGTGCCATATCTTTTCCCCCGCCGGATCCCTTCCGATATCTGGTACCAACCACCAATCGGCAACACGTACCCTAATAGCAAGGGATCGCCGCTGCGATACGCTATCCACCAATAATCTGCAGGTTTATGATTTGCCAGCCGTGCACTTTGTAGCTACAATCTGCCCATTGCTTGGTGACATTGTGTTCTTTCTTCTGCCACGCCTCTACATCTCTGGTTTCTGTGACCTCCCGATACTCCCAACAATTGATGGAAGCAGTCGATCCACCGCCCGCCAAATGGCCGAGGACCCCGGATATTCAAAAGTCGCCCCGACATAGTACGTATTGCGGTGTCCCTGCAGCTTCTTCAAGTCGTGGTAGAATCCATCCTCGATGGCTTTCCGGCCAACTGACATTTCGAAGGGAGAATGGTCGGCAAACGCCAGGAATTCCGGGTCGCCGACGTCGTATCCAGTTCGGCGCAATCCCAGAATATCCTCCACAATCGCCCCCTTGACTTGTTGCTCCGTCATTGGCTCCTCACTACCATATCCAACGGCCATCACACCTGGCACCGCGGTCGGATACATCATCAAAATGCACGGAAGAAGGGGAAGCGAGTAAGGTCTGTCGGACCCACGATTCACAATCTGGACTCCCTCGGGATATCCATCTACCCGCACCAGGCCGGCATAGTAGTGCCCGTAGATAAATTGACTGAACAGAGAAGACTCAAAATCATCGAGATCTAAGCCATCCAGCACATGCCCAGTCGGAGGTGCAGCCAGGATAGTCGTGTTGGCCTCGATCATCCTATGTGTACCATCCGTTGCTTCCACCGTCAATCGATGCAGTTCGTCATCCTCCCGACACGCGTTCACTACAACGCTATGAAGCAGGGCATCGTCTCCCAGTTCCACCAGAGCAGCCTCGTATAATTCCGAATTATGGTGCCGAGCAGTGGTTAGAAATCCCGTCTGCAGCGCTCTTAACATATCCAACGACACGAACTTCATCAGATAAACGGTCGGGTAGTTAAGCCAGTTGCGCACCCCCTGGCTGTAAATGCTAATCAGCTCGACGGCAGCCCCCAGGTCGTATTGTTCGACGAATTCTCCGAAAGGCATTAGAAGATCCTCGGGTATGTCTTCCGGGAGGTCCCATCCCTCCAAAAGATAGGGATATTGACGGAGAATGTCTCCATAGCGTTCCAAAGCCTCGCTGACATTACCAGGATAGGGATCCACCAGTTCACCACTCTCAAAGTCAATGCGTTCCATATATCCGCCGCCATTTGAAGCCTTCGAAAAAGGTACTGCAAGATGAGAGAAGAATTCTATAGTCTCCGGCGAATCTTCAAACAGGGTCACTCCGAAGTCAAGCGGCGTGTCAGTGTTCGGCTCGATGTACGTGATGGTATGGCCACCCAAACGACCAGTCTTCTCAACCACAACGACTGAATAACCTTCTTCAAGTAAATTTATCGCAGCATAAGTGCCCGCAGCGCCGCCACCGATGATACAAACATCACGGCGAATTACCTCGCATTCACTGCATGAGGAGGAATTAATAGTGTTGGAACGACCGACGTTAAATAATGTTGCAAAAATAAACAGAAGTATGGGATTTTTGGCGAATGAACAGAGCATGATTGAGTAATGCACAATTGACTCGATACGTATCATACCTGTGTGCTGTTGGTGGTCAGAGCGACCTATCTATACCCGTCGACCACCTAGTTGAACGAGGTCTGGGGTGATAGCAATATGGCAAACTAATGCCGAAAGGAGGACAGAAGTCCTGCGTGCAGTCGTCTGCCAGTCGAAGATGCAAGTATGCCTGGATCTTGCCGTTTCTGCTGTTACTCTGAGAAATAGCAGGTGGTACCCGGTGATCGACAGGACCAATCACAACACTCATGGGATGTGACGACCACCTGTGATACATTCCTAGAATGGCAGTAACCACAATCTTTCCATTGTGATTCGTCAGGTCCGCCACTTCGAGAAAGCTTGAGCACCGAGAAGCTCAGACGTTCTGCCGCAAAACGTCTCACACCATGGACAGATTAACGATACAACCGGAGGATGCATCTACCCAGGCCCAACACATAATACTGTTTTTGGGGAGATGGAGCCAGACAAAGTGCAGTATCGCCATCAGCATGTACTAGGCATATCTACCAGAAAGGGCCGTCATGATAAAATATCAATTGACTATGATATAACGATGAGACAGATAGCTTTAATTTACATGGTTCCATTGTAGTTGAACAGATTCTGCTTGAAATGGCCAGTGGTAGCGAGTCCGTGGCTATGTAATACTTACTTATCCTCTTAGGCTCACTTCTCAGGGTTTTGATGGCCTGAGGTAAAGAGGGAAAGAAGCAGATTGTATCATATGATCGCACAATGTGGAAGGTCCTGTCCTGTGTCACGCGCCTTGGTCCAACAAAGTCGGTCCAGCTACCGCGGCAGTAGTACTGTGATCAGGCGCACTTGCCACTCTGGCAGGTGAGGTTGTCGGAGCAGTCGTTCTCAGTTGAGCAGGAAGCACCTGAATGCCATGGGTCAGTGTAACACAAAGCACGGTCCAAAGAGGGTTCCTACCGGCACAATGGCCTGACCAGGAGCAGGAAGATGAGGAGGAGCCAGAGCCGGAGCCAGAGCTTGAGCTCGAACCCGAAGAACCGGAACTGCAGTAGCTGGAAGCGTCGGCACTGCTATAAATGTTCGATGTATAGCATTTGCCGCTCGCAAACAGCTCGTCCGCTTGGTTGAACAGTTAGGTCATATCTGGTAAGTACTACCTGGGGCCTTTAACATACAGTTGACGGTGTAAGATGTTCCCGGGCTGATGATGACGGTTTGAGAATCATCCGGGGTCAAGGAATCTTCGCAGTCAATCTGGGTATCGCCACCACTGGATTCAGTAGACCCAGTCCAAATATCGATATGGAGCTTGCCGTTGTCATAATCGGTAGCTGTTTCTGTTAGCGGAGGCACACTACTAGGCGTGAGAGTACTTACTGCACTGCGCGCATGTATCCTCGAAGCGGAGGTACTTGCGAAGGTACGGCAGATAGATGATCTCACACTTTTCAAACTCCCCAGGAGCAGTGGCAAAGGTGAGAGGGTCATCATACGTGCCGGTGCCTAGCAGCTGTTAGCTTTGACATAGTCAGCCCGAAGAACTCCGAGAACATACCACCTGCCGTATAACCACGACCACAATCATAGGCAATGTCCGCGCTGGGAGGATCGTTGTCAGGATACCCGTAAAAGGTAATTTCCACTTCAGACTCGGTCGAACACGCCACGGATGCCGAAAGAAGGCCGGCGACGGCAAGAAGTTTAAGAACCTTGGAGCTCATTTTATGATGAGAAAGAATATTGAGAAAATAGAGAAGTAAGAATACTGTGTTGCCAATAAACATGAGGAACTTTGGGGTGGGAAAACCACGTTTATATGCTTCATGGTCTGGCTAGGGAAGTTACGATGAATATTTTCCTAGACTCACTCTCCCGTAAATGGTGAGGTTTCATTGCAGCGATCGCCTACACCAGGGCAAAGACGCTATGTTTCAGCCTACTACTGTAAAATCCTTCTATTAGCGGGAATACGAGATGCCCAACTGTTCTCGGAGATAGACTGAATAAATTGGCTAATCGACACATCCTACTGCTTATCGCCTGTACCCCAAATCCGACTATCCCAAGCTTTTGTGATATGATGCCTCAGGTTTCGCCAAAGGAATGACCGGGGAATTACCGAGCAATATTCACCCATCTCAAGTCATTTTCCTACTCGACCATACAGTGTTTTCTGGCCTTTCCGCAGATACACCGCTGTCGCAGCAATTAGCAAGATGCGAGAGACACTTTCTGTGGTGGCCCCAAATCATTCTTCAAAGCGTTCTGGATGTAGTGTGGGGTCCGAAAACCCTGGGTCCCCAGCGGGCAGATCGGATTCAATCTGGGCCCGATATCTCCATTTAGCGAGGGCACTGGAGCTTGATCATTGTTGGCCCCATCGAGGTCTATTCTTAGAAATAGCTCGGCTGTGGGGCTCCTGTCAAGGTCCGATGCAAATATCCCCCTTGTACGTTCAGGGACAAGGGATATCCTGATACTGACAGCTGCTTAGCGGCCTTTCTGCGGGCGGAATTGCCTGGGGCCGCATGATCCTACTTCATAACGGTTAGCACACCTGTCTGCTTGCTTGCTTTAGGAGATTTTCCGCAAGAGGAAGGTCAATAGTGTCTGCATCATCGTGCCTCGGAAAATGTGAGTTGGGGGGTGGTATCCGTTATTAATGGCTTCTCAGGAAGCGGGCGTTGGACAATACGGGAGTCCAATAGACATACTGGCCCCACCGCTAGGTTATTACCCTGTTGTTCCTGTTAATAAATGGAATCAATCTACTGGGCAATTGCATATACGATATTGCACATTAGCTGTTCGCATGAATTTGTCCCTACTAAAATACACTATCAGGCGCACGTTGCCATGTCAACTTAATGATGAGAGAATTGTCGTAGCCCCAAGTACCACAGTGTTTTTGCAAACTCCCCCAAAGGCCAAATCCTCGGACTGAATAGAGCTGATAAGAAAGCTTGTGATCCTTAAAGCTGCCCCTGACTCGGGATGATGCGGTTGCCCTGCATGGTCATCCGATGGGGCCAAAACTTGGGGCCGTCGGGATCCTATTTTGCCCCTTTGCGGAACGGGGTCAAGCGCGCATCAAGTCCATACTAGTGCTTCATGTGCAGTCAACAGCACAAGACGGTATGGTGATGCTACAAAGACAGATGTTATATTCTCATCTCAAATTAATACTGCCAGCCCTGATCCCACAGTTGAGTAGGTAACCTGCGACCTCTCCTTTGCGATGATGAAAGGAATAGGCATAATATTTGGGAACACAACATCTATAGCGAACAGACTGACAAACACAAGCTAGATGAGAGAGTTGACGCCGACAATCATAACAATCATAAGATACACCGCCGGGAAAAAAAATGCAAGCTATTCAAACGGACGAAACCTCCATCTCCACCGGCACCGACATGAACTTTTGCGTCTTGATCACCTTGTCGGAGTAACGTTCTCCGCGCCCCAGATAGCAGTTGACCTGGCTAGGGTGGATGAATTGGAGTACCTCCATCGCCAGGAACATCAGCAGCGCATCGAATACATAGATGAAAACCTCGTGTTTCATAAGGTATCCGTCGTATCCTTGGAGGTATTCTACCACACGGACAATGGAACGGACAAAGATGAGGATGCTGGAGATGTAGAGGGCGTTCATATGGCGACGCCAGATGTGCGACAGTTCCGCCGAGGTGCTAGTGGGAGCCTTTGCCAGTCGCACTTGGAAGACGAGCGCTGTGATGATAAAGAAGCCGAAGAAGATAATTTGAACAAAGAGACCGCCGATGATGATGTGCTCGCCTGTGGTTGGGTCGCTCGAGCCGCTGACCATGAGACCAGCGCCTACTGCCGTTAGCGATACTGCATCAGAAGACGGGAAGCTGGGGAAGAACACACCGGACGCTTGCATCAAGAAGGAAAGAACATCGCCCGCGACAAAGATCTTTGTCACCCACTTTAACTTGAACACCGAGTAGTGTTCTGCTTGTACCATCCGGATAATGCGACCGAGGGTCATGTAAATACTAGCCGCCAGGAAGGCCGGGGCGATGAGGATAAGGGCGCTTTGCATGGCATACGAGCCCGTGCTGTAGTCGGGGCTTTCGAGCGAGGAGAGCAGACGGCCCACATATCCGATTGCTTCCACTGGAGATTAGGCTTCAGGTCAGTGATAGTCCTGCAGTTATCGTTGAGAGTAGTGACTGACAGATTCCGCCAATGAAGAAGGGGATCATGAACCATGTTCTGGTGCGGACCAGCTGGAGAAAGTGCAAGACAGTGCTGATGCCGAACAAAACTACAAAGATGCCTGCTGCCGCAGCAGAGGGTGTGTAGTAGTATAGAATGAATTCCATGGCTGGCATGCGATAGAGAAGCGCTGGAGTCGATAAAGTCACAGGAAGGTAGGGAGCGAGGCCCTGCTTTTATGAAGGCCTATCATTGTTGCCTCCCACTTTTGCAAGGTACCAATATGGCAACGGTCGCGATATACGAGAGACGATAGTACATCTGTCCCTGAACCTGACAATGAAGACCCGGGGCTGGGGAATCAACCTCTGCTCTACGTGGTGCTCCTCGTTTTCGTTGCGTATACCGTTTTGGGTAAGATGTCGTTCGTACTCGCACCCTTGCCCAAAACAGGCAATATTCGGGTGATCTCCACTGGATCTGGAACGCTTGAATCTCTACTTTCCTGACTTTTCAATTGATCCGGAGTAATTCCGTCTTAGAACTTTTACTATTTCGTATGCTACCCACTAAATACCCATAAGAAGCCATTGATAACATTTGAGCTGCCTAAATGGCTTGCTGCGCCCGCTGCTCCTTCTGAGCGAACGAATCCATGGGCTTCAAGTTCGCCTTCGACGGCCCCTCCACACAAACGCCATCGCAACTGAAGCGACTACCATGTACAGGGCAATCCCAGCTCTTCTCGGTGTCGTTCCAGTTCAACACCGCCTTCATGTGTGGACAGATAGCGCTGAACTTATGCGCCTTGCCTTGCTCATCTTTGTACACGGCTACGGGGTTCGTCAGACCCTCCTTGATCACGCCTCCGGAGCCGACGGCAAGATCCTCAATGTCCTTGATGTCGGACTTCATCCAGCGCTTGTACTGGGTATTGATTTGAACATCATGCGCCAACATACTGGGCAGGGACTTGGCGATGCTGGACAGCCGATGGGGGTTGTATAGGCTGGCCCATGGATTGTCAATGCCCATAATCTCGTCCGCAATGAGTTTACCAGCCAGAACGCCGTGTGTAAGACCATTGCCGCTGTCTCCTGTGACAACGTATGTATGGTTCAGGCCCTGGTTCTTTCCAATGAATGCCATGTAATCCACCGGCTCAAAGATCTGTCCGCTCCATTTATAGTCGACTGTCCCGGCCTTGGTGAAACGTTCACGAACCCAAGTCTCGAGTTCCTCGAACCGTCCGCTGGTCGTATCCTGGCCGACCTTATGATCGCATCCTCCGACCACTAGGTAGTCGTCCTTTTCATCGCATTCTGTGAACCGAATGTACTTGTACGCTTCTGCCTCGTCATAGAGAAGGCAGTCTTCGATCGAGCCCTTCGGAACACGAATGGCAATGCAGTACGTCCGCATGTACTCCATCTCCGCAATGACGCTCAGTTTCTGGAGAGGCACACAAGTCGCCTCGACCATATCCTTCGCCGTGATAGTGTAGCCGTCGGCGGTCGTCACTTGCACCAGGCCACTCTCGCTGGACGACATCATGCGAGTGTGCGCGTAGCATTGAAAGTTTGGCTGCTTCTGCAGCCACTCAAGTACCCCAATAAAGTACTTGGTTGGGTGGAAGGTTGCCTGGTCGGCAAAAATGGCACCGTCCCGCTGGTCAATGTTGCCATCCCATCCCTTCACGGTGAGACCTTCGCGGTAGGATGCAGGAAGACCAAGCTGCTTCGCCAGCTCAACTTCCTTCTTCAGGCTGGAGACCTCCTTATCATGGTTTGGGTCACCACGGGGGTACTGGGAGATCTCATAGCCTGGAAGCATGCGATACTCACACTCAATTCCGAGTGATCGGGAAATCTCACCGACTCGCTTGAGTGCCCAGGTATGGCTCTCAGCGGCGGCTTTGGCACCCTGGTGTCCATGCTTCTTCTGGATCTCGGTGTATCCATCGTCTAAAGCATTAGACAAATGACCACTGGTACGGCCACTTTCGCCGGACAGGACATTGCGGGCCTCGATCATGGTCACTCGCTTTCCACGATTGACCAGCTCATAGGCAATAGAGATACCGGCAATACCTGAGCCGACAATGCAGACTTCGGTTTCGACATTCTCATTCAATGATGGGAACTTGGGATATTTGGAGTACGGCATAGAGTGAACCCAGACGGGGTCCGTCTCACCGGAGGTGTTCATCCAATGGGTGGGACTGGACATGGTGGCTAATTTGCGTGATTTGGGAGGGGGGGCAGAAGTTGAGTATGAAGAGACAGTATACAGAAGTTGGCAATTAACCCGTTTGAACGAAGTAAGCTTACTAGCAGGATGGCAAGCAAAGCCGCGGAAGCTCAGTTTATACAACATGGCAAGGTCGTGCTGAGCAAGACCAACCCTTCACTATCAACGGGCAGATTGGGTGTTCCAATGCGGGTTTATGTTCGCGATATACCCCGGGGGGCATCATGATGACATAACGACAGACCCAAGAAATGAATTGTCCAAAAGCTAGATAAAGTTCGTTCTGGGATCGAGAAACTGGAGCCAAAGACCTCGAACTTGCCTGAAACCGGGCTTAGAGCCAATTTCCCAGAGATTGGTGGTGGAAGCATAGCCTAGAACCAGCCTGCGTGGATGTAGCATGCGGGGCGTGGAGATACTGTAGAAGACCATTCTGTTTGTGGGCAGACTGTTAAACACCAAGTAGGCCTGCGTGCCCCATCTTTTGGGTTACACAGTACAAGCTCTGACCCAGCGAGAGGGTATGGCTTGTTGTGTATTAGACTTCTCAAAGGACTCTTGTCACTTGACCTGCGCATAGTGGTTAGCCTCTAAACGTATACCTCAGCCACCCAGTCATGGTTCCATGTCTTTAGTACTCAATAGCGGAAAATATATCCCCACCATCTCAGCAGAAAACTTCCCAGCCATTCACCCCACATTCTTTCCATTGAAGTGTTTCATGCTGCTACTGATAAGCAGTAATCATGACATTCTCAGTGGCGATAAAACCCCGCTAAATAAGTGATGAATTGGGTGACTATTCAAGTGATGTACTAGTTATCAATAGCACCAACTATGACCTCACCATGACTCCCGGACCAATGACGCCATCACCACCCACTCCAACCAACCCTAACGAACGAATTTCCGATACTCTAATCAGCCATCTCCCATTACCAACAACTGACTCTTCTACTTCCTGTTTTATTTACATTTTACCTCCTGCGACCCGTTACCTCCATTGACAATTCCATAACCACCAAAATGCCTCGAAAAGTCTCGTTCTCGGAAACTCAACTACCCAATTTCGACAAACCCATCCGCCCGCCTTCTATCAGCGTCGACTTTTCCACCACTGTCCCCGAATGCCCCGTCACTGCAGCCCGCCAACCGGCTCGGTATACGAACGACTATATTGAGAAACCAGGCGTGCCGCGGGCCAACACCACCGCCTCAATTGACCGGCCAGACGGGGATGAGAGCTATACAAAGCAATTTGGCGATTTTGTACGTACTAGCCTCAATAAGCACTCTATATGATCGATTGAAACATACCACTAACTTGAGATCACTGATGAAGACCCCCCTCCAACAACATGTCCTCTTCTGGGACCGCGACCGCGACGGGCAAATATACCCCTGGGATACATATAACGGCTTCCGCGACCTAGGATTCAATATCCTCTTCTCCTTCTTAGCTGTTCTGGTCATCAATCTGAACTTCTCTTATCCGACTCGTCTGGCGCATTCGTATCTCCCGGATCCGTGGTTTAGGGTATATGTGGATGCGGTCCACAAAGCCAAGGTACATACCTCCCCCAATGGGGTATTTACGCCTTCACTAGGAGGAGATTGCTAATGGAATAATTAGCATGGCTCTGATAGCAATACCTATGACCCCGAAGGACGCTTCGTTCCTCAATCATTCGAGAATATGTTCGCGAAGTATGATCGCGATGGTGATGGCGCATTGACATTGCGGGAGCTGTTTGATATGATGCATGGGAATAGATGTGCGGCTGATCCGTTTGGTGTATGTTCACTCTTCTCCGCTCCCTTCGCACAAAAGATAAGTGTAGTTGATAAGAGTGTACAGTGGGGAGCCGCGTTGTTTGAATGGGGAACCACATGGTTGCTGATTGAGAAAGACGGTAAGGTCTGGAAGGAAGATGTGCGGGGTGTATATGATGTATGTCTATCTATCGCTTGGATGGGGTGAGAAATACAGCTAATGGTTATTACAGGGCTCATTATTCTGGAAGGTACGCGAAGCCAACCGTTCAGGACAGGGATGGACTCAGGGCTTTAGACCTGGATTATGGATGAAGCGGACAGTGAAGGGATGTTTGAACGCATATTTGGATGGCTAAGCATACATGCATTGCATTAGACCATTGTACACTTATTTAGAGCGATTTAGTTATCGCCATCATCTCATGTTTAATTTCATCGTCGAGCATAATACCAGCGACTTCAAGCATAGCAGACCAGAACATGAATACAGCCAATCAGCTTCGACTGTAAACCAGCTAATAAGTATACCGAAACCCCGGCAGATCCCCAATAACCAACTCTCCCCGATCCACGCGACGATTGCGCAGATACAATCGAATGGTCAACAACCCCACCAACACTATCGCAGCAGCCTGTAATGCAATACAGGTAAGCATCCCCGGCCGGTATTCCGGGGCATCCTGAGACCGAAAGACCAGAGATCCGACCATGCCGCCCGACGCACCGAGACCGACAAAGATGGCGCTGCAGGCCGCTCGCTTCCACTGACCGCGAACATTGTTTGCCTACAATCAATCAACACTGATACTAGGATGAGAGGGATGTATAATCCTACCTGATATGCCATAGCAGCAGGGACGTTCGAGTTGGCACCCATGGTAGTAAGAAAACACCCGACCAGTCGTGGCCCGTTGCCCTTGGTGAAGGTCTAGTCTTGTCAGCCGTGTTTACCACTACATTAGTATGAGGAGAAACTGACCATCAAAGGCAGCCCGATCAAAGCCAACATGGCATTGAAAACGATTATCGGCCCTCGCAGCCGGTACTTATCCCCAATCCACGATGTCGCCATCATGGTGATCCCCGCAGCCACGTACGGTGGAGCGAAGAGACACAGCGATGCTCCCATCGAAAAGCCCATTCCCTGCCTGTATATCAGAGGCAGAAAATATGCTATTGAATAAGCAGTGGATGTAGTGCAGAAGTACACTAGTCCAAATCCCCAGATATTAACGTCCAGTGCAGCGACAAGATACTTCTTCAAATTGAATGGCTCGAGTCTCACGTCCCCGCGGTCGTCGTTGATCTGGTCAGTAATGAAGTCGTATTCTCGGTCCGACAGGAATCGACTCTTGCTTGATCGCATACGATCCAGGAAATTGATTAGCACGAAGTAGCTGATTGCTGCCAGTGTGCAGGTGAGGAGGCCTTGGATGACGAAAATCCAGCGCCATGCTGTGAGGCCGCCCAGGCCGTTCTATACACGCTAGTTGTTAGTGGGAATATGATAGAGGGGCAGTGCTTGCGTACCATAAACGTGATGCCATAAGATAGAATACCGGTGAATGCCGATGCCACACAGCCGAGCAGGTAGAAAATGGCAAATCGCTTCTGCATCTGATAGCGGGTGTACCAGGTCGCAATTAGATAGACAGCAGCGGGGAAGAACCCTGCTTCCAAGGCTCCGATGATGATTCGAATGCCAGCTAGTTGAGCCCAGTTATGGACGAATCCACCGCACATCTAACAGGTTAGCTCTTCGTCAGGAGGGGGGTCCTGGTGATATCTTACCATAGCAATACCCCAGATAAAGCAAATTCCCGCAAGAAAGAACTTTGGGCCCAGTCTACGAATCAGCACTGGACCCAGCATCTGCAGGCAGATGTAGGGAGGAAAAAACACGACAGCAATGATATTCTATACGACTGTGTTAGTATAGAAATGCTTCTTCAGCTAAAAAAAAAGAAAAAAAAAAAAAAAAAAAAAAAAAAAAAAAAAAAAAAAAAAAAAAAAAAAAAAAAGAGAAAGAAAAAAGAAAACTCACATATTGATTACCCTGGAGGTGCAACTCCTTCTCCATTCCCGCAACCGCTGCAGTAGATAGGTTCCCCCGGTCAAGCAGCGATACGGTGTGCAGGAACCCCAACATGACAATTAATCGTGCGTCAACCCGACGGATAACCCGTCGCTGCTCCTGTGGAGTCAGCTCCGTATCTTCGGGTCGGGAGCTCCCTGCCTCAACGGACAGGCCTTTGATGGTGTCGTCGTCGGCCATTATCCCGAGTCGAGGACGTTGCCACTAACCCGTCGGCTACATTGATGGGACTGCTCTTGCTCCTAAGGAGATTTGTAGGACCTAAAGTATGATCAAAGCAATGATGCAAATTTGGTATCGATGGCGACATTGGAAGCAATTCTCGAGACTATAGATGCTTTATCAGGTCATGGCAAAAGAAACTATGCTAATGGATGGATTTTCATTTGCGGGGAAAGCTCGAGGTCGGAAATCGGCGTTAGCCTTGAAGCTACTACGTGTAACGTAGCGATGTGACTAGCCAAGCCCTGCAGACTGGAGATAGTCTCCTTCAGCCATTTTTAAACGCCGAAAGCCGGAGAAAGGAGACATGGCGGTTTGCGTGAGCGGTGAAAGTTGTAGGGCCAAGGATCGATTAGCGTCGTGGTAGACATGCTGATTGCCAGGCTGCCACGGAGGTCACGAGCTGGTTTATTCAGCTCTTCAGAATCTCCGTTCTACCCCTAAACCCTCCCTTCACTGACTTCATGTTCGTCTGCAGTCACATTCCAATCGTCAACTTGGCGGGTTTTAGCTTTTCTCCGCTCCTCCCACTTAAAGACAAAATGGATGCAAACGAACAACACCGCTGCCAAGCATGAAAGACCGAGGTACAGCTTTGCTCCAATACGCCAGTGAGGAGCTTCCGATGCTGGATATGCAGCTATGGGAAGGAAGGCACTTAGCAAATACGCGAAGAGGGTTCCGGTGGCGAACAAAACGGTGCGAACTTCTGGCTCCGTCTCCAAATGGGCAGCTGCCCACGCACACAACAGCATTGTCGAGACCCTAAACAATATATATCAGCTAGATATCCCTACCTCTCGGATAGGTGAGGCTTACGCTCCGATATAGTCCATATACCACCCAGCCATATAGGTGTGCTCATTGCTCGGTTGGATCGTCAGGATGATGAGTGATACTATATTGATCACCTAAACTTGGTCAGTACTGAGTAGTTCTTACTCAGGTGCGACTTACCGAATGCAAGAGGAGGAATGGCAGTCTGACTCCAAAATAGTCACTAAACCCACTGAAAAGGATTTCAGCGACAAGTTGGATTGCTTGACCAGCGATCGGAAGGTAGTCGAGCATGGCCACGGAGCTATATTTCATCAGACTTGAATGCATAGAATGGTAAGGAACACATACTATTTAGCGGATCCATCAGGGTTCTTCAACGACTTGAGCCAGAGGTTGAAGTAGCTCGTTGGCGTTGTGCCGGTGCCGATTGCCCACGCGACTGTGTCAAGATCAGTTATGCGTGCTACAGCAGAGTGAGGTGGAGACATACTGGCGAACAACCATAAATGCCAGAACTTGAAGCAACGCAGAAAGCTTTTGACCTGGATGCCGATCTGCGGTTTCCGGCCCACGCGGCGTGTACGTGCAATGGCTGTCTCTGTATGAGTTTAGCGAATTTCTCCACAACTCCTATAATTTTTACTTACTAATATGCTGCGGCCCGAGATAGATCTTGGACAATGGATTTTGCCTTTCGGGCTATAGTCACTTAGCAGAGTATCCCACCCGAAGAGCTGGGGATTCTCACAAAGCCAGGTAGGATGACAAATGCCAACAAGGCAATGAATATGGTGCAACCTCCCTACCCGGGATATGAACTAGTCAGCTTCGTCATCACGAGTATTCAATCCCGTCGAACATACGTTTATGATAAATGCCCATCTCCAACCACTTCGCCCCATGACACCTTCCAGATTGGTAGACATTGCGCCCTGCATGGCACCCGAAAGCATAGCCCCAACTGGCTGAGCCATGTTATACAAGCTCATACGCAAGGCCATCTCGTGCGGGAGATACCATTGACTTTGCGTGTTAGTAGTCTCACTACTTGATTATCTACAAGATTCAGCGACTTACCTGATAATGGTAAAGTAGCCAGGCCACGTCGCACCTTCAAAGAAGCCAATGAGAAAACGCAAACCATACACCTAACCGATTAGTTGTGCCGATGCTTGTCGAAACGCTCGGGGTATATACCTGTTTAGCAGACGTGACAGTGGATAAGCAACAGGTAAGTATACCCCATAGAACCTATTTCGTTGGTTAACTATATGAATACCCTATCTGAAAAAACTTACTTCGCATGCTGGCAGCCATATAGCTGGCCCGATGTGGGAGATAATGATGCATGATGGGTAGAGCATAATCATGTATCCGATACTGATGGAGTCAGAATTGCCAGTAGTTAGAGGTGATGACATACTTGAAGAAGGTCGTGAAATAATTGTACTCGTTACCATAGAGTTCGAGATCTGTCTCCATACCGGAAACATAGGCATTGCTCTGCCGATGATAAGTACACATTGTTTATGTGATGCATGCGGATACTAACAATGTTCGTTTGATCCAGGTACTTGAATGCATATCCCAGAAACCCTACGACGAGGAAGAAGCAGTCGAGTCGCCATACCTAGAATCAGTCAGTCAATACGCACATTTCCGATGTCGTGGGCTGAAAACAATACCAGTGCCCTCTCATCCTTCGGCCGTATCTCATCCGATAGCTGCTCGTTTACAGATGAGACCCTATCAATAGGGCCTTTGCTCTCATCGTCGGGCGTATCCATCCTGTCGACCTTTCAAGAAAAATAAGGATTCATCAAGCGATAACAATAGAGATTAGGACCTCAGACCGTCAAAAAAGTCAAGCAACATAAAAACCATGGGAGAAAAGCGCCTTCGGCGACGTCTTATCGGCGACCTGCAGACATGGCATCAAGGCGGGATGTGAAGGCGTGCTCTGTATAGCCCGCCCCGCTCAATTGGTTTGATGCACGCCGTTATTCGCCAAGCAGACCAGGAATCTGCTGACGTTGAGGTCTAGAAGATCGTCTCCGATAAAGATGCAAGTGCAGTACTCTAACTGTAACTATCAAATTAGGTAACATCCGGCACCGGCGTCAAGTATCCTAACTACGCCACCAGCCGCCAAGATTACGAGTGATTTGTCGCTCAAACAAATAAGAAAATTGATTTAGGCGATTCCAAAACCATCCGATTGATATATCACGATAATATGATTACACAAGATCCTAGCTAATCTCATCCTAGGTAGTTTGACGACTACACCACTGAGCTCTGACTAGAGAACGCAGGTAGACTAGGCAAACGAAGCCTTGTTCTGCTGCAAGAATTCCTTCCAGCTGGTGAGCTTATACCCCGCCTTAGCCACCAAAACTTACTCTCGTTGAGACTCCGACCATTGAAGTAACCCGGGTTTCCAATGAAGAGGTGGTTCTCCAGCATTTCCTGACCGATCGGACCCGGCATGAATGACTTGTACGTTTCGGGATCAACCTGCACAAACTGGGACTTCTGTCCTGTCACCTCTTCGAACTCTTCGAGAATGCGAGTAGGAGTGTAGTAAGCCTCCGCCACGAGGATTTGAGCACCCAGTGTCTCGGAGCGGTTCTTCAAAGATGCAGCGACATATTTACCTACATAAATTGTCAGTCAAGGCCTCATGCTAGAGCAAATGGCTTAGAGATCACATACCCATATCACCCACAATATCAATCAACGGAAACTTAGACTCCTTTCCAATAGGATAAGCAAGAGTCCATACCCCGTTCTCGCCCTTCCGCAGAAGACCAACAACAGAGTAATTGGTCATGAAATACCCTGGCAAGACAAAGGTAGCCGGAATCCCCAGCGAGCGAATATACTGCTCGACCTGGGCTTTGTGATCAAAGTGATGGACATTCTTGAGACATCCTGCTGTTGTCTCTGTCACGTTGAGCAGAGAAGAGAAAATGAGATGCTGGACGTTCAACTCTTTAGCCACGTCGGCAACGTTCTTGCCGTGGACCAATTCTGCATCAGATCCAGCAATACCCCAGGCGGGAGTGGTCACTAGGAAGACAGAGTGACTGCCCTCAAGGGCGTTCCGGATAGAGTCTTTGGAGTTCATGTCCGCCTATGTAGACTGTTAAAGTGGGATTTCGGTAGAAGTGTGGGACGTCAAGCCTTACATTTCGGATTGCGACTCCCTGCTTGGACAATGCCTGGGCTTCTGGTTTGCTGGCATCGCGGGTGATACCGCGGATCTCGAATTCCTTGGAAAGTTCGGGGTCGTTGAGGATCGTGCGGATGACAGACCCGCCCTGTTGGCCAGTGGCACCGAAGACAGTAATGATCTTGGACATTTTGCTTTGAGAAATAGATGAATCGTTCGGTTCCTTGAGTTCGTAGTGCTTTCAGTCTGGTGGAGTAATTGCCAATGGATGACTTCTGCTGCATGGGATTAACCCGGGGCAAGCCTCCATTATATATGTCCCTTGGCCACCCACTGCAGCTGACCAAGATTGAGGTTCCTCCCATACCCCTTTCGGTGTCAATGTCAGAGAGATGAATGACAAAATACCCCTCGTATATCGGCTTCATTTGGGGACCGAGGTTAGTAAGAGACGCATTGAAGCCTGACTAAAAGTGGACGAGGGTCGGCCTTGAGATCAATGCCGAAAGGGATCGCCACCCCGACCGTGACACATCTAAGAGTACATGATGGCCATACTCCAAGATCGCTTCCTCCACAACCCCATTTCACATACACGTTACATATCCGTTTACATATAATTATGGTGATATTATATGTCGAGTTATTTTTCATATTTGATTTGCGCCGACCAGATACGTCCTTCAAAGTGGTTGGGAGCCCGACCGTTACAGCAATGGCTCCCACAGCCACTCCATGCCCGAGACATCAAAACCAGCCATCCCTAGCGAATAGACATCTGATGGAATAGAACCTTTATCCAGAGAAGCCTGTGAGATATCCATGCCTGGAATAGTGTTGGTATCTAAATACATCAACTCCGAACCCGTGCTATCATCCTCCTTAACCTCCGTGCCCAGAGAGGAGCCTGGCGATACACCCAATTTGGCTGCCCTAGTTGAAGCTGTCCGTTGCATCAACCGCTTGAGCGGCTTCCGGAGCATGACGCTCTGAGGCGAGCCATCCTGCTCCCATTGCCGCTGGATCTCCGTCACCACCTGCCAGGCATGATCGGTTTCGGCCGTGATTGGGCGGTTGCACAGCTGGGCGAGAATGAAGGCGACCGTGTGCCATTGCTTATACGTCTTGCACAACCACGCCCAGTGCGAAGTACTCTCGTTGGTATGCAGCAGAATGGTAAATTTGATGGTTTCGACGGCCGCCCGAAAGGCATCATCGCAGGCGGCTTGCGAGCATTCGGATTGAGACCCATGGCTGGGGATTTTGTTGTAATGAGCGTACAACCACAGCTTCGACAGGGTCAATCGAATGATCATGGCATAAACCCATTGGATTGGGATGTTGATGTCCAAGTGTTGCAAATACCGATTTTCCAGACGGTTCGCTACAGAGGTAACTAGCGGTTCCTGATCGGCCGAGGATTCTGGATCCTTTGCACCATTACGTCGATTTGGCCAGTTGAGTTCCGAGATGAGCTCGCACTGAATAATGACGAGGGTGATATCAGTGGCGCCAGTTTTTTCCGGTGGCAGCTCAGTCATCGAAGGAGCCAGATCTTCCCCGTCAATATTATGGGGGAGACGAGTGTCAAACATGCCTGGCTGGATCTGGGTGTCAGTTCCTTGATCCTCGGAGCACACCATATCCAGGACACAAATGTGCCACCATAAACGACGCCGCATTTCCGAATCGAACGGGCTGAGTCCGAGGCTTTGACCGTCGCGATGGACGCCCTGTCCCTGAGCCACACGAACCACGACGGCAGACGCGGCCCAGACCAGCCTGGCATCCCCCCTCCAGCGAAGGCAGAGCAAGAAGATTACTGCAGCTTGCAGAACACTGATGTTCTGAGATTTGATGAAGTTGGCTCTTACCAAAGCCTGGTCAACGGCGAGCTGGTAGCTCTGAATAGCCTTCTCGCAATCGAGACCCACCAAATCCAAGCACTGACCTGGGGGTATGGTTACGATGGCGGCAAAGCACACAGCCAGAATGAGTGCTTCGCGAGAAGGGTCCGGATTGATGTTCTCGGACTCTTCACGAACCATGATCTCCACGGACGGTACGTGTAGAACGGCAAGTAGCGGGGCTACATTGTTTTTGTAGACTTGCCATAGGCGCTGGATCTGGTCCGGCTGCAGGTAGGTGTTTCGTAAACTGTGACCTTGCCAGTTGGCCCCAAGGCTACTGGCGAAGTGCAAGCCGGATGCCTCCGGGGTCGCCAGTTCATCCTCGGAGGATGATGCATCACAGATGTCCTGTAGTTCTCGGATCTATAGTGGTTACGAACACACCCGTCAGGGCTCTTGTGGGGAGTAGAACAGGATTATACGAGGAAGGGAGATCTCACCTTGTCCCCCAGCACGGCCGAGGGTGCATCCCCCACATAACGACTTTTACCTTCCTTGATCACCAGCCTGCCTTCCCGCTGGCCTGGTTCCAGTGGGCCAGTGGCCTCCTCCTGGAAATGGCCGAGTGGAGACGATCTAGAAGCCAATCCAGCCCCCGCAGGTTGCTGAGCTTGGGCGCGCAGGAGCTGGACCTCTTGCTCCAGGTGTCGCAGCTGGGCCAGCACCTCGGCGATTGGGGGTCGTTTCAGCTGTCGCGGTGCTCGTTTAGGACCAGGAAAGACACATTGTTCGCCGCCCTTGACACATCGACCGCAGGGAAGCCTCCGGTCGCATCGGACCTTGCGGCGGTTGCAGGGGATGCAGCTACGGGGATACGTGCCACTATCATCCATCTTGCGACATCGCCATCCCTGAGAGGGTTTTTAAGAATGAATCTGGCGGAACAGAGGGTATGATGTTTGGAGACTGATTGGGTTGAGTTGGGAGAAAAGAGGAATCGGGCGCGGTCCGAGACACTGACAGAAGGAGAATTGAAACCCACGGTCGCGTCTAGCGGATCTTCACCGACGCCTGATTTTAACATAACCAGCACCGATTACTGCTTTCTCTTTGTCTGCTCCGCATTCACCATCACACTGTATATATTTACTTGCACTGCTATAATATCAAGCTAGGACAATACTGTAGGAGTCGCTGTTCCAGCTTACTCGCCGCGTGTCACTTTCTTGCTCCCCAATCCTCCCCATGCGCGCCAGCACTCACTCTTGCTTGCCTCAGGGGGATGTTACTTGGGACGATCCAACAGCAACCATCGGCTGCGAGATTGAAAATCCCTTTCCTGGGTATGATTCCAGTGCCCATCATGCATGCTGCTGTGATGAGAGGTCCGACCGTGGCCAGCCGGGATTATTCACCGTTATTTCTGCAGCCCCAATCGTGCTGGGAGGGAGTCCTTGCCTCCCGAGTTCAACATCTGAGTGATGTTCCCTTGTGAACTATACTGTTCCTCTCCTAGACATATTCAACTCTTTGCAGGCCGCAGCGGGGCTGTCTCGGAGGACAACTCAGGCAGCAGCGTCTCCGACAAGCCAACCGATTTGTCGTAGTAGATGTCCGGCACCACCTCTGCTGGGAGCTCGGCGATGAATTCGGCGGGCAGTTCGGCGGGTAACTGGACGATCTCGTCGGCGGGCATCTCAATGGGCATCTTCTGGATATCCGTTCCTGCAGATGACTGTGACGGCCGTCCGGACGAGATGGA